TGAAAAATATAGGTATCCAAGACGGATACACTGATCAGAAGTCAAAACGTATTGAATCGTATAGACTTGTACACATTGACTCGTATAGACTCGCAAGACAGGGTACAGTGGTTTCGTTTATCTACAATGGTACCAGTTCAACTGAATATTCAATTATATATGCGAATCATTGGTCATTAATATATCCTTTTTTCAAACATCAAATTACAATGTGTTGATCATTGTTTTATTCTTCCTCAAATAAATGCCCAGCTTATTTTCTTTAAAGCATGATTAATCATTATTTCTTAAATATTTCTAGATGGTGCACGAGGTATTACGTATCGACTAGTTGGTTGACTAGTTATTGCCACGTTATTTCCTCCAATTGCTTGTACAAAGTTGTTCTCAAAGGTCGAAAACTTCAGAACTTAACTCGGATAAAACTTGCAAAAAGATTCGAAAGTTTTCATTGTTTGTTATATCAAAGGGAACATTTATTGAGGACACTCATACAGCAGTGTTATTTATTAGAAAAAAAACCTTGAAATTCTTTATTCCGGCACAAGTTATTTTAGTGACTTAAAGTCGAGAAATATTTCTTTGGCAACTACGCTGCCAATGATTAACAATAAGAAAAAACATATCAAAATTGCTGTTGTGCTCAATTCTCAGTTTAAAGGAGTAACGATTGATGACAAAGCAAAAACAACAATAATAATGTTGGAAACAATAGATGATAATAAAAGTCACACCCGGGACCAGGAAATTAAGAATGATGAAGAGGAAAGGAACAATAATCTGATTTCAGGACACCGTTAAAGGAGAAAATTTCAAATAGGTGACAGGAAAAGTTCAGGGTACAATTAAATCTCCGTGAATGTCTTTTTTATTATGCTTTGAACCAAATATTTGATATCTGCTATTAAACAAAAGTATTGTGTAGACTTATAATTTTCATATATTTGATAGACTATTAAGGCGATAACTGCAGGTAGTAAAACGTTGCTTTCCTAAGATAAAAAATGAATCATCCAATTGTATTTGCAATATTGCTTTTGTGAATTGATGTACTTAGCTGAAAAAGTGACACCCCATTAAGGTTTTATTACAGTCACACTAAAACATTAATGGCAGATGAAACTAAATATTTCCTCTTGAGGTTTATGTCCATCAAAGCCTAGTGGCATTTGCTCGTCTGATCCTATTTTATTGGTTTAAACATGACAGCTGATCTTGATATGAATCTATGTCAACCAACTATGGTTTGTGTTTTGTACGCAGATAACTTGTACTTTCAGATATATATACTTTCCTCTTTTACATATTTATATATTTATTACAAAAAGAACTTAAAATTCCAATTTATTAATGCTCAGTTTCAAGAATGTTCGTGAAAAAGATAAACATTTTAATAAGTTAGATGATAAGGATTACATGAACTTTCAAAAAAAAAAAGGAAAGAATAAGCAACCAACAACTAACAATAGCAACGCAAACCACATAGTAATTTCTCTGTACCGGATATCTAAGAAAATATTTTATATCTACTTTTTAAAATTTTGCAATTTATTTGCAATTTTTCAATATAAATAATTATGTATTGCGGTTACACTTGTATATTACTAGGTAAGCGCCTTATCTCGATCAAATAACCTTGACATCAAACATTGTAGACTAAAATGTAGATTATAGTTGTCCAGTTGGTAATCTATCTTTAAACTATATATGGCTTCCTCTCTTATATGGACCCTTCCGCCCATTCAGGAACATTGTATACTGACCCGGATTTGCAAAAATTTCATGCTGGACAATGTATGAATCACCTAAATTGAAAATGGTGAAGCTGAACGAATTAAAACGCTCTACACAAAGGTTGGAAGAAAACTAGCGTATCAGATTGTGTTGGCGTTTATGTTGTGCCCGCCAACTTACATGACTGTGTCTCCTACGGTTTGTAAAAAACTACATTAAAAACTATATAAATATAATCATTACGATAGAAACAATAAATGATTTTTTCTAGGTGAGCAAAGCATTAATTATGTATGAAAATAATGACATAATTCGGTGATACGAGTATTGATCAATATCATCTGTTAATGAATCACTAAAATTAATGAGATAGAATGATGATAAGTATAAAAGCTTGATTGAATCTCATGGGTAAACGTTACTCAGGAAAGAGAGTCATATTCTATTGTGTTTGCTAGGTAATCAGTCGAAAGTTTTATTGTGGAATTAAATTGAAGGGTATAATTATACCTAGTGAATAGAAAAAATTAAAGCAGTAAATCTTACGATTCTCAACAAAGAATATTTCTCTTATTTAACACATCTGAAACTGTGCAGAATGACATGTTCCGTAATAAAAATAACTCTGCTATCCGTATGTGGGTTTAAGTTCTGATCCCTTTCAAAATTCCATTTTGTATAGTTCCGTCCATTGTTTTTCTTGTTAGGACACATGCTTTCAATAACTTGGGAACCCGCTGACATTTGAGTCCCGCATTGAAGGTTCGATGATAACCGCCGTATGGTACTAGGGGCATGGGCGATAATTGCACCTGACAGTACCGTTCATGAACAGGCTCAATCAAATCGATCTGCACACATTTTCAATTCTATTGTTTCGGACTTTCTTAAATGATTCTTATTTTCTCTATTTTGAATTGTTTAGCAATGTTTTGTGCATGGCCCATTTTGGTCAAATTGAAATATTCCAATGCATTTCTTTAAGCCAGGCATTGCGAAACGTTAAAAAGTTCAAGAAACATTTAGTAAACTGCTGGCAGCAGATATATAACTCTATCCACTTTAACCTTAACTTGTCTTTTTTTTTTTTGCTGAATGTGTATGGAATTGTCTCGCTATGAATTAAGAAGCGGTTAATTCAACATTTAGTATGGTGGCCGATTTACGCCATGTTATATTTTTTGCGTCTTTGCCTCAAATGCGAAAAGTTGGACTTTGTCGTCTCTTTGTGTTTTCTCCTTTTTGGATTTTCGAGGCAAAGAAGCGAAAACACGACATGGCGTAAATCAGAGCCATCATATTTAAGGGATTCAGATATAAAAAATAACCAGAATTTAAGGAGAATTTTGTCCTAAATTGTATTTTAAGTCTCTTGTTACACTATTAATGGTTTAAGTATTTTGTATTGGAATTGAAAGTATCACTTTTTACGTTTGCTATCCCCCCCCAAGCCTTAATGACATTATTTTTCTACATGTAATCCAGTGAGTGAAAATGATCATATATGCCTTTAACATCCATTAAAAAATCATTATCAAACACATTTGTACCCTTTGTAAAAAAGGAAAAATTGTCGAGGCATAACTGATCTTTAAGAAAATAGAGTGAAATAGCATCCTTAAAGAGAGCCCAAAAACAATAAAACTCTAACAACGCCAAATACTGGTCATACTATTCTTAATCTATACTTAAGGGTGATCTTTTTTGATCTCATCAGGTTAAGGACGATATAGCTTCAAATACAATGTGGCATTTAAAATTGAAGCTTCCACTGCCAAAGAAGTAATAAAAAAAATGTTCAAAGACGATTCTGGAGTTTTCAAGTAGACATATAGGCAAAATTAAAATTGTTTTTAAAACCTAGCATCTTGTTAGAATAAGATAATAGAAATATTTTCAACATGTCCAATATTGTTTTCTAAAGCAAATTACGGGATTGAGCATTTAAGAACTTCCATCCCCACCATATTTTACGATGCTTATATTTACATAGTTTACGGGACGACTACCAATGACTTGAACCATCATTTGCATATGTTTCACGTTGGCAATTGTACAGTTATAGTGATTTTATGTATTTTGTATGGAAGTCAAAATATCATAGTAACTTTGTCTGCATTTTGCTATTTTTATTAAACATAATTGTAAATCAAGTATTTATTTAAACGTTGTAAACTAATGTTTGCTCCTTTAAATTTATTCTTTTCCGAGGCATAAAATGTCATTATATAAACAAAAAGACAAGCGAATTCGTTCGACGCACATAAATTTTTCATAAAGTTTGTCTCAAGGATATTATACTTGTCGAATAAGCTTTCAACATTGTTTAAAACCACTCGGATAAGACATCTACATAAATCAAATACTGAAATTTTAGTAAAGTGTAGTAACTAGAAAACTTTTAAAAAAGCAAACATTTGTCAAATATAAAGTGTGTTTAGGAGTATATTGAATATTGTGTAAATTAGAATCACTGGTTAAATTGGTAGAAAAATCAAATCGCATTGAAGTAAATATTAATTTTAATTGGACAATATTGTTTTTCATAATATATAGAGGATATTTGTTTGTTTGTGTGTAAGATGAAATTTTATTTCATCGAGTGGGCTTTAAAAACAGTATACTCACGTGTGGCGTAGCCACGAGTGAGAATACTGTTTTTAGAGTTCACGAGATGAAATAAAATTACATCTTACACAATAAACAAACAAATTTTCTTTTTATTTTATGCTTATAAACAAGTAAAAACGAAATTTTCATAATTTTAACGTTAATATTAAAATCTGTTTTCCCCATTGAGAGCCCCATTTAGTCGGAATTTCTCATTAAAACAAGAAGTTTTGAGCTGCAAAATAAGTCCGCCAATCAACGTTAAATGACGGTGATATTTATTCATTTTATTAAAAAATATGAATGATAGCTTGTTTTAATAATAAAAACAAACAATTCGTGTAGGAGAAAAAGTCCAACCATCTATCCATATTTCTGTTACTTACTGCGAATTTATATTAGACCTGGCTTTGTAAAATGTAAGCGGCAGCCATTTTTTAAAGTTGTGTATTTCATGGGAGGAAAATAATTGTGTAAGATACAGAGGGATATAATTTGGATTTGTTAGTCATACACCTTTTTAAAAGAAAGGAAACTTATTTGAGGATTGTAACAGACAAAAAATAAGTGTTGACAGATGTGAAAACATTCAAAAAGGAGCTAGGAATATGGAAACTCGGAAGCTTGCTCAGGAACGATTGGTTGTTTTACTTATTTTTCGAGTGATGGCTGTCATTGCTTTTCAATTTTTCATAAAGCATACGGCAGTTATTGCTCGTAGGATACTTTAATATGCCCAAATGTCATCAAGAGCAGTTTTGCATTGGGAAGGAATGTATTTTTCAGACTGTAAAAATGAAACAAAAAAATTTAGAGACGAAATTTGGTGATTGGAATTTGAATGAATAGAAGTAAGTTTTCTTCTTTTTATTACTTTTGACATTTAAGTTATTTATCAATTTCAGCTTTGCTTTTTCTTTACACAGCCTGACATTGTCAGAAGTGTCAGCAAAAATAAAATTGAGGTATCACATGGGGAAAATCTTAAACAAGTAGTTTTGTCATTGAAAAGTGTGAAATTATATTTTGATAATTTTCACTGTGAAATTATCAAATATAATTTTTACGGATAAATCAGTAATCCAATGAAAAGCATAAAATAAAAGATTATTATGTTCTGCTGTGCAGATATATACGAAAAATAATTAAATAAGTTATATGAAGATTGAAATTCATATTTGTTCTCTAAATTAGATCAAATTTATCATATGGAATATGACAGTTGCAGTGGAATCTGTTGGTATCATTTTTAAAGATACTTCTTGTAAATTTTACCCTTTCTGTTATTGCAATAAATACCAAGAGGAAAAAGTTATAATATAGAATTTATTTAAATTTAGACAATAACATATTACTCTTTTTAATAATTAAGTGAATTATATTATCATTTCAATCTTGCTGAAATATAACTTTATAACATTGTCCATATGCCTTTACTATTCTTTAACTTGACACAACTTTTAATATGATATTATGATAATTACACAAAAAGTAATGTTTTTAATCTTCATAAAACGGAAACAAATTTACAAACAGCAATGTGCACATATAATCCTTAATGTTCATAATACAATATGAAATATAAATAAGAACTGATGTAGCATCATTCGTGTTTTTCTTACAATAACTTAGTTTGTAAAAGTAAGTTTCATGAGGTTATAAATCTACATATCACCCACATTCATCACATTTTATTTATTTTCGAAAAGGGATATCTTTATTTTGTAGACACGACTCAGCAATTTATAATCCATGATTGAAATTAAACTGCTGTGCTTGATAGCAAAACTGAATAAACATTTTACAATATATTATACTTCGATCAAAAGTTTTAGCTTATGTTATGGCACAACCATAGAACAATAACTTATAACTGTTTTTTTTTAAACACGCGTACAACATCATTTTAAGCTCGTCTCCAGGACCACGCTGTTAAACCACGTCGTCCACGTCTCCCGTGACGCCCTCGTCCACGAAGTACCTGGAATCGAAAATAATTGATCATTATAGTACTTAATACCACCCTGATTGTACTGCACAATACATTTAATATATATTTGCTGGTAATAATATTTTTTTTTATAATAGTTATAAATGATTTAACAATATATCATTGTTACAAACCTATAGTGTTGCTCAATATAGGAAATTCATAGTCATTGATTACTTTTAAAGTTCGGTATATCCGTTTTGGTGGTCTTAGGCATTATTTAGAAAATACAAAAAACAGCAGGCCAACTTATAATAATTTAATACTGAAGTTTTAGTAGAAAGTTTAACGTTTATCAACATGAATATTGTCAATTCATGTATTTACAAACGATACAGTCTTGCGCATCAAAATATCCAATGATGGCCAAAGGACCACCGCATTTCACCGTTGTTGACTAAATTAGAATTTATGCGTGATATAACAGTATTTACCCCAAGTGAAGGGATGCAATCACGAGTTATTGCCTGATATATGAAACCAGAACGACACATTCCTCTCTTTACCGGGACATCATCAACCATCTGCATAGCTTGTTCTATCTCCTCGGGACTGAAATTATCAAGGTCTATGTCGTATGGTAGAGAAGCAGCTATTGTAAATGCTGAAAATAAAAAAGACAAACATCATCAAATAGCACAAAAACAATTCCAGCAAAATTAAAAGTATTGTACCATAGTAAATTATTTCCGCAAACACTTGACTGAACAATATCTTTTCCAGTTTATGTTCAACATTTTGAAAACAAACATATTCAACACACGTTTGCGACTCTCTAAAAGTAGAAATACAGTCACTTCTTAAGCCAAATGCCTAATGGCTAATTGTCTAGAGGCGATCTTGATGCACACTTTAGAAACATCTACAAAAAGGTGGTTGTAAACCACTTGTCAATAATCCAGTAACAAGTGCAAAAATAATTCTTAAACATAATAAAATAAAATAAAATACAAAACCAAACCTAACATTGAGTAGTTAAACAAAGTTATTGTCAATACATGTATGGGTAAAGAAAGTAATTGACGTGTATATTTGAGAATACAAAGTAATTATACAAATGAGAATACAGAATAATTATATAATTATATTGGAATAGAAAGAAATTATATATTCATGGGAATACAAGGTTATTGTCATTATTTACAAGAAGATTATATAATTAACTTAAATATAAGGACAATGATGCTTAAATCTTTCGCGAGGCTATGACAATTTCTATCAATGTTCGGGACAAAGCAAATATTATTTAATTGCAGGGTTATTCTTTTGGCCAAAGCTTAGGCTGTTGGGCGAAAGGCTATGTAAGGCTATGTAAAGTAAGAATTAAAGTTTTTATACTTTGTTGCGATGCTTAAGCACTTAATTGTAACCAAATGTCATATTACCTGTTTGCAAAGACATTATATAATGATGTCACGGTTTATGAAAAGACAATATCAAGTCATCACTTGCAAGTCGCTGTTAAACATTACTGATTTAAAATAACTATAGATAGAGAATTACATCAGCAAAGCCCTGGTGTATATTGACTGTTTTATAACCATAGCACGACCGCCTAGGATTGTTAGTTTCATTTCAATATCATATTATCTGTAGAGTTTTTGTCGGACACATTAAACAAGATTTGCACATCGTGATGGAACATATAAATGATCTGTTTTCTCATACGACAGGAGATGTGAAAAAAAAAAATGAATGTCATGAATTGAGCGACTATTTTAGGTTTATTGAATTGATTTCCTCCTGATTTATTACGATATTTATTACAATTTAATGGTGCAACTGACAAATGTTGCTGATCAGTAGCTATTGTTAAATAAAACGTTTCATAAGAAACAAATATTCATTTCAACTGAGTTTTGTTTAATATGACGGTACTGGGATTATTTTAGGAAATTTTAGTACCTTCTGATGTACAGTTGGACCAACTATTTGTGTGCAAATTTTCAGCTCATTCTTTCACGTTGTTTTTGTTTTGAAAATAATCATTTGCGTTGTGCAAAATGACCCAAAAGTGAAAAGCGTTCAAATCTTTTTTTGAATTTTACAAAAATCGATTTTCATTTTGATTATGAATATAGTTCTTAAACAATTCTTAACCATTTTATTCCTTTTAAAGTGAATAACTTAAGTTTGTGATTTTTCAAATTTTACTTTTAATGTCTTGTTTTTTGAGCCTCAGTGTTAAAGATATGTTTTATAAGTCATTATTCACGCATATCAAATACAGAAAATAATATTCCTAATACCGAATTTGCATTTTTATCTATAATTTTTCTAACCGAGTCATGGCATTTTTGCCAGACATTTTGGCAGGGTTTATACAATTTATGTGGGCTTTAATTTATTGCTTTGACTATTTTTTGATATTGTATGAAATAATAAATTTCACACTTAAAAACATGCTCTAACTTGCTAAACAAATTTGCATGAAAGTGGGAGTCTACACGGTACTGTTGCTATTGCTTTTGTTTTTCAGTTTTCATCATCATTCTTTGTTTTTACAAGTAGAAACAATTCCGAAATCGTAGGAAAGATCACATCTTAAGATGGCTTTAATTGAAACACTGTTTAAACAGTTTGCATGTCATGAAAAATAAACATAAAAATTTGAATGAACCTCACACGTGACACTTTTTTATTCTTGAGATGATATTCTCTGATAAAATCATAAAAGAAAGAGTAATGGATGAATTGAATTTTCAACTAAAATACATCACGGGCGTGTCTTTAGAATATTGAACTAGCTAATACATAACTGGTAAAATTTCTATAAATGTTACAGATAATTATATGAAAATGCATTATATTTAACTAACAGTTGAACATATTTAAACCATGCCATCTGGTCATAATTTCTACTGTTTGCTATTAAGTCAGCGTCTACTCTGTAAATTTCCCTAAAATGACGGTTTTTGTCAATATTGAACGATAAACAGTTCCATTTGAATTTATTTAGTGTGAAAAGTGTTAAAGGTCAAATATACAACATGAAGATTTGTTCATTTATGTCTGTAACTTATCAACAACTCTTTTAAGTGTCAGATATATCATTTTGTCTGTTATCAAACCTTTGTAGTGCACATGTTCATGTTCAACTCAAAATAAACTACGTCAGTTATAGGAAAGGCTTTCAATGTATGTAAAATCTGAACGTAAGTGTTCCCTCAAGACCAATAACATCATAGTATGAAATATGTTTCTGTCAATACTTGAAGTTTGATCTAAATTCAACAATGATAGATATTTTCGATGATCAGTATTCTATATATAGATAAGATATAACATTTTTATTTTCTTTAAATCCGGTTTCATAAAAACACTATTTCATCAGAATTCCAGTTTTGTTTGAAACAATTGAAACCAACCATTTTAAAAAGATGCAAAACTCAATTGAAGCGATTTTGATTTAATTTCCTTGCTTAGAAACAAACAAACAAGCCGTGAGCTGCTGGCTTTATTCTATTTTAACTGACGCTTCGCATTGACAAGTGTTCTTCTCGATATTTCAATTCACAATTATATCAAAATACATTACATTTATTTGACAGCAAGGAAATACTGTTAAAACGGTAAGAGTGGAAGAGATTTGTCTCTTTTCATTAACTATCAATAGAGCCCTTGAGGTTAGAAATATAAATTTGTTGTTTTCAAGCTTTAAATGTATTAGTAATTGATAACTGTCTAATGTTATTTTATCAAATTATACGAGTGTGAAAGAATAATGATCGTTTAGTTTGAATTCATGTTAAATATTTATATCGTAAAATAAAACTATAAATTATATGTATATTGACAGGAACTTTCGTTTCTCACTTTTAATAACAGACATTGATATATCATTTAAATCCAAGACCGTGCCTAAGATAAATATTTATTCTCCACCGTGAAGATTTTCAACAAAACTGCATTGATATCTTTTTGAGTGTATCAAATTAAAGAGTAATTGCAATTGGATTGAATTTTGCAACGAATGTTTTAGCATTATACATGTTATAGTACTTGTCTGTGATTTGGCACACTGTTTGTTTCATTGTTTTTGTTTTTTGAAGGGACACCACTTAGAATATTGACATGACGGGATTAGAAATATTGTTTCGGGATGATTTGATGTAGGTTAAGACCAATAACTTGTATGAAAAAATGTCAGATCATTCTCGTTACAACGCTTTTTACTCCAATCGGACTAAGAATAGCACAAACATGAGGTTTGCAATTTCTCATGTGTATATCTCTTAATTATCTTCTGTATTTCTATCTGTTTTAAGTGACCCAGCTGATTAATGTAAGGAAATAAAAAGTTATGTTTTTATGCTTTTGAAACACAAGTTCCTTTACAATAAATAATTTTCAATGTTTAAATATGAGTTGCCCTCGTGCAGTTTAAAATGTTTGCTAAGAGAACTGAATACTCACTTTTTCATATGCACTGTATGTAAGGTTCGTGCTTTATAAATCAATTCATGCTACCAACAAAGAAAGAAGAAAATAGCAGACGAATTATACAACACATTTTGTAAATGATTTCACAAGACCATTATTGGAATGAAAATAAAGACTGAATATCTAACAATGTTTTGTATCATATTTTTTAATCGATTTTTTTATATCTTGAATTGGGTTCTATACCTGAACACCAATTTGTGTTAAATGACGCCATATTGCAAAGCAATCAAACTATGAGCGTCCAATTTGAAACAAAAATGTTAAAGTGTGATACAAATATCATTCTTGTAAATCTGACTGTGAAATGTTTACAGAACAACTTATGATTAATATTTTAATCTGGAGATGATTTTGAAATATCAAGTGAATCCCATTTCCATCAATGCAAAATATTCATGTTTCATCAGCTAAATAATAACGAAATTAAATGACTTTTAACAGCAACACAAAAATTATCATCAAGAACCAATTTACATTAATTAAATGAAACGTGAAATTCTACTATGTTATGTAAAAAACAAAATGTGATGAAATCAAACAATATTGAATAGTTATTAATGTAACTGTCAAACATTTATTAAATAGACATGTTTAAATAAAACAACGAATACACACGAGTTTGAGATTAAATGTGCTTACTTAAAAAAACAGGCGGTTTCACTTTAATATTGAACCGTTTCAATCGAAATTTCACAATAAAATTTTAAACAGAAATTTCAGGACCAAGATATGAACATGGCCATTATAACAGGGTGAGTTAACGCTTATGAAAAGCAACTGTGTAACAACTTTGAACGACATTTTACACCTAGCATAATGCAATAAACAAATGATGTTGCAAGCTGTGATTAAATCAGAAACACCATAACGATCAGAAAAATATAAGAACATATAAGAACAATGTAGATATCATTCAGCTACAAAACTTAAAATGGTATAGTCTAACATTCTACAAAAATATCGCTGTTAAAATATGCTTGGTGGCATATAAGTATTTCATCGGAATTATAAGCGTTATTTCATCAAAATATATAACTATCAATCATTTTAATTAAATAAAATAATATAATTATCTGTTTTCCCTCAATAGTCCATTTTCTTTTTCTGAAATCACAGACTTATTATTGTGTTAAACGTATCAAATCTACAACTTGAGAA